ATATTTTTGTCAACGTCAAGAACTTTCACCATTTCAGTTATACCAACTTTCTTTGCTTTATGAAAATATTTAGGTTCAGCAAAGACTGCTATTCTATAACATTTACCATTGTTTGTATAAAGAACTATTCTGTCAATGTATTTGTATTGTTTGTGTGTGTAAACTTTGTTCTGCTTCAATTCGAAGAGATACTCGAATACGTCCATCTTTTTATTCTAAGTAAAATGTCATTTCCGAAAAATAGAAGCGTAAGTGTTTCAAAAGGTTTAATGGCGGTGGCAGATGTGAAGTTAAATTCACCAACTCAAACAAACAGTCAAAGTGTTATTGTCAATGTCAAAGACAGAGATGTTGAAGTGGGGAAACCATACGAGGACGAAGATGGTATAACAATTGTTCCTGTAAAAGAACAACCAACATATCCTGAAGTTAGCAGAGACTTAAGTTCTGTTGCAGATATTCGAAACGACTACCAACAACTGAAAGACAAACTTCAAACTCAGGAGAAGATTTGTCAAGCTTTAGGTATAATGTTAAACTTGGTCGAGCACAACCCTGTAAAAGTGAACTCATATGTCATTGCACCTCATGAAGTTTTGAAAGAACTATTGAAACTTTTGACAGAGGCAGACGATATAAACATCAAAGAAATAGAACCCGACATTAGTTGCTGTGGTGTTTCATATAATGCCATTGACAAGATATACGTTATGAAAGGAGGTGAAACGTTGAACTTAAAATATAGTTTCCCAGACGTTATAAAAATATTTGACGACCACAACATTTCATTAAAATTTATTTGCTAAGTAAAAATGTCAAAACTTCTTGAAAGATGTTTGAAGAAAAATAATATAGACTTTATTTCATGTAAAGGACTTTACACACTTTTGAACGATATGAAAGACCCTGTTTTGTTTGTTCGTGTAGACAAAGGAAAGTTCTATGTCTTTACAAAATATTTGAACTTCTTAGACAGAGAACTTCAAGAAACGCCATGTGAAAGTTTAGATGAAGTTCTTCTCCACTTTCAGAAAAACTTTTAAATATATATAAATGGCAGAAGATATAATGGTTTATACTATTACGACTAAAAACCCTGAGTCATATAATTCTATAACAACAAACTTACAAAGTCCTCAAGGACGGTATTGTAAACTAACTTTAAACACAATGACGACTAAAGCCTGTTTTGCTCTTTTGACACCAGAAGACTTTATTGTTGTGAATGGTAAAAAAATACTCCTTTGAAGATACTTACTCAGATATACCACCAACAGGTTTTTTGACTTATTTAATACTTTAAGTACGGGTGTAACATGTGCTGCAACTAGAGCAGGTTTCATTATGTTTGGATGTCCGACTGAGTTTACTATAAACGATATGAGCTATAATACAAAACTTATTTCTGGTTTTTACTACCAACAGTTTCCTATAACAGGAAAAGGTGTCATACAAGGAATGTCTATTCCATTGACATTAAGCACACCAATCTTATATATTGTTTCAAACTTAGGTTCAAAGTGTTATTCGAATGTCGACAGAAACTATTATGACCAAAAGATACTTATGCGTATAAACAATACTTTCTCTGCTGGTTTGCCTATTGTTCATTCGAATGCAGAATTTTCAACCTTAGTGAACTCAAACACTTTGGCAAGTATAACGTTGACATTAGTTGACGCAAAACTTTGGTCCTGTAAAACTTTTATGTCCTATGTATTTGTCAATGACGGCAGAAAGTTTCGAATTGGAAGATGCAACTGGTGAAAGTATTGTATTACAAGAACAACTTCAACAACAAATAGCTCAAGAACAACAAATGCAACAAATGCAACAACAAAGTCAAGAATAAAAAAATATTTTTTTTATTTTTATAAAAATGTACAGAATAGATGTTTCAGATTTTTATGACTTCCAAGCATTCAGAAATATGTGTCCATTTCGAGACTATAACAAAGCAGTCGAGAATTTGAAACGTTTAGTCATTTATGTCGACTCTGCCCCAGAATGTTATGTTATGAAAGAATGGGATGTAGTCTTTAACAAACCAAGAGCAACAATAGTTTCAGAACAAGAATGTAGACAGAAACTTAAGAAAATAAAAAGTCGTACAAGTTGGCATGAAGATGTTAGATGCTTGGGATATCTTATTGTCAAAGTTAGAAGATTTTTCAGTTCGAGGTATAAAGTTCTATACACCTTCTCCAAATTCTATTCTATCTTCACTGGATATAAATACGAACAAGTAGAATGGAAAGAAAAATATTATAGAAGCTTGGTTAGACCATGTCAAAGAAATTATATGCAATGGAAACGAAAAGGTTTATGAGTATATCTTATGTTGGTTTGCAAACATCTTACAACATCCAAGTGCTAAGAATGAAACTGCTCTCATTATAATTGGAAAAACAAGGAACTGGTAAGAATACTTTCTTTACAGATATCTTATGCAAACTGTTAGAAGGTTATTCGAATCCGAATATGACAAACTTAGAAAACATCTGTGGCAAGTTTAACTCCTCAATAGAGAATATGAAACTTATAGTTTGCAATGAACTTCAAAGTATAGATACAACAAAAGTTTTAAACTCAGATGCTTTGAAGAGTCTTATAACAGACAAAGTTGGAGTTGTTGAAAGAAAGATATAAGACCAAAGAGTTTGTGAAAATGTTGCAAACTTCATTATGGTTTCAAACAATGCTGTTCCGATGAAGTTAGAAAGTTCTGACAGAAGATATGTAGTTGTCAGAACGTCAGATTCTCATATGCAAGATACAGAATATTTTGACGACTTAGCAGAAACTTTGGACATCTGACTTTTACAACCACTTGTTCTCATATTTTATGACATTAGATATTTCAAAGTTCAATCCAAGACAAATTCCACATACCGAAGAGAGACAACATTGTTAGAAGCAAACAAGAGTGTATATGAACTGTTCATAGATGAAACTGACTTTGAGTGTTTAGATGAAAGGTCTTTATATGATGAATATAAACAATATTGTCAAGAATATGGTTATATGGCAGCTTCTAAACGTACATTCTTGGCAAATGTCAAAAGTCTTTTAGACGTACAGAATGGTGTATATACAAAGAAAAATTTTTCTGAGTAAATTTTAAAAAAAATATTTTTTTTTATCCGATAGAAAAAGATGGCAAAATTCATCTCAGTAAACAAGTACATGTCAGGACTTAAAGAAGAACTAGACCCATTCACATATTTGAATGTTTACTTCTACCATTTTGAAAAGTCTTCATTCAGCAAAGTTTGGAACATCGAACCAGTTAAGTTTGCTATTGTGACTAAAAATGGTGCAAAATTTGAAGACTTAGACATAGAAGGTTTGTTAGCAGTCAAAGAAAGTTTTGACAGAAGGTTCTCAAACCTTAAAGAAGGCAAAGCATACAAACTTGTTATACCTTATGAACCAAAGAAAGCAGACGACTATGAATATTATGAGTCTAAAGTTGTAGAAGTTCAAGGTAAATTGGGTAAAAAGATTTTAGAGTCTAAGCCAGTGTTTACTCCTAAAGAGGAAGAGAACATTGACATTGACCCAGAAATGTTCTAAAAAAAAATTTTATTTTTACATGTCAAATTTCTTTTTCTCTGGAACTGGTTCAGGTTCTTCTCTTCTCTTCTCTACTTTCTTTTCTTTCTTCTCTTCTACTTTTTTCTCTTTCTTTCTTTCTTCTTTCTTCTTCTCTGGTGAGTTATGTCAAATTTCTCCGAACCATATTTATGTAAAAGTTCTTTGTCCTTTAATAGCTCATCTATTCTGTTTTCTATTTCATCTTCAAGAACAGCGCATGTGTCTTCTTTGCATTCTAAGAAGTTTTGTTGGACTTCATCTCTCCAAGAGGCGTCATCTCTGTCAACAAGTCTGTCATCGACAAATTTTAAGACTGCTCTGCTTAATGTTTTATGGTTCTTGTCATATTCCCAGAAACAGAACTTTAGAACAAATTCACCTTTCTTGTTTACACTATGTAAGATTTTATGGTCGACAGATGTTTTGCTGTCGAAAAGCTTGTCTCGAATATAGATAGCGAAATCGCTAGACATTTTCTAAAAGATAAAAATTTTAATTTTTCTAAAAATATGTTAGAAAAAAAGTTTGCTGACATTGACAAGAAATTTGAGAATGTTTTAAAAAAGAACAAGAGGAAGTTAGAAAATGCTCAGATAAAGCCTATACATGACAAGTTCTTATTTGCTCAGAATGGTATAACAGGTCTAATTGCACCACCTGGGTCGGGTAAGACTTTCACTTATCTTAAAATGGCTGCACAACAACAAGAACTAGATGAGAAGAACCCATTCTATGAGTTAGTTGTTATTTGTAGTACTTCTGGTCAATTTGACCAAACCGTCAATTCGTTCAAAGATATTATAAAGAAGTCTAAGTTAGTATGTATAAAGGATACTGAGTTGTTAGATTGGATAAAGAAGTACCAAAGAAGGTTTTGAAGTATAATGCTATAAATGAGTATATAAATTCTAAGTTCAAAGACCCAAATGAGGAAATGCAGAGAATATTAGAGAAGAAACACTTCAGAAACAAACAGAAAGAGATAGAATACATTTCGAAGAAATTGCAATCTTACGATTGGAAGACTTACCCTCATAGATGTCTTCTTATCTTAGATGACTTTGCTTCTCATCCTTTGCTTAAGAACAGAGAACAAGATATGTGTCGAATTCTTAAGAAGCTCAGACACTTTAACATTTCAGTCGTAATATGTGTACAGACAGCAAAGAGTTTAAGTAAGGATGTTAAAAGAATACTTACTGACATAATACTTTTCCCCGGATTGTCCGAAGACGATTTCATGGAACTTATGAAAGAGTCCATGGCAGGTAAGTTTGACAGACATGAACTATGGGAGAAGTACAAAGTCATACAAGACCCTCATACTTCTTTCAGAATTCATATCTACGCAAACAAAGTTCAAATTGTAAAAAGTCAAGCTTGAAAAATGTAAGTGTTTAGTCTTAGTAAGTCTGTTGTGGTGCTGGGGCTGTCGGTTCTTCTGGCTTTGGAAGGCATTCAGGAAGAGGAACGTCAGTCATCCGTTTGTGTCCTGTTGGAAGGAAGAACTTTTCCTGTCGGAAGGAAAAATTTTTCCTGAAGTTCGACCAAAAAGTTCTCAATTTTCGAAAATTTGAATGGTTTACGGACGGACAACTGGAAAATTTTTTCTTGTCGGATGGAAAATTTTTTCCTGTTGGAAGGAAGAACTTTTCCAGTTGTCGGGAAAATATTTTTCTGTTGGAAGGAAGGACTCGGAATGCAAGAAAGACTTGACGAGGCAATTTACCTAATTGAGCTACCTGAGCCATCTGAAGTCAAGCTTGAAAAATAAATGGTTCATTTACTCTGCTTGTTTGAAGTTGTCAAAATACTCTGTTATTTTTTCCTTTAACAATGGCAAATCTTCTTTGAATGTAAGTATTGTACAACCTTTCATATCATAGTGTGTTTGAGGTAAAGTATCTTGAACTATTTGTTTCACATCTTCATTTGGGGTCATTGAAATCGGTAAGTTTTCGCGATAGAACCAATTTCTGTCAGATTTGTAAATCTTAGCAAGGTCGTAAAAGCTTTTGTTGTTTCTTCTGACTAAATGCAACATAACCATATCTCTGTCTTCTTCATTTTCCATCTCTTCAGTATAAATCATATACTTATAGTTCTTTTCCTTTCCTTTTGGTACTGAACGCGGTATTCTTTTCTGTATGCTTTTGTCTTTGGATTCAATGACTTCATCTTTTGCTTGAAGTTTCTTTTCCATCTCTTCACGTTCTTGTCTATGAATTTCATCTAACATCATGAAAATATAACAAGCATAACGAGGTGAAGCCCACATTGCTACGGCATTTACTAAAAGTCTATGAACATAATATCCTCTCAAACCAGGAGCCAAATTCTTGCGATTTTCGTACGGAATCTCTACCCTCGGTTTTCCGAGGGTAGCAAACATATGAGGAAATTCTTCTAAAAGTTCTTTTGTCTGTTGGTTTTCAAACCAATGATATGCTTGCTTTGTAGAACGAAGAGCGTTCAAAATACTTTGCATCTGGTACATATCGTCTTTGACCGAACGAATGAGACGTAACTGTTTGTTATACTGTATGTACTCGTATTCTTCATTTATAGCTTCATGGACTATAACTGTTGTTGTGTTCTCTGTTGTTGACATATCTGTCTTTACATACAAAATAAAAAAATAAATAAAAATAAAACTAACTTTATTTTTTCTATCTTAAGGAAATTCATGATTTTTGTGCTGAATTCAATAAAACTATATTTTAGGGTAGATGGTTAGATCTAACCCGATATCTACCCTCTTTTCTACCCCAGTTATTTTATAAACGTTTCACATGGTAAACGTTATTTTTTAAATTTTGTGAAAACTCAACGGTTTGACACATGCCCTAAAAATTATAGTTCATCTAACATCATGTAGATATACCAAGCATAACGAGGCGAAGCCCACATTGCAACAGCATTTACAAGAAGTCTATGTACATAATATCCTCTCAAACCGTTTGGCAATTTTTCACGATTTTCATAGAGTTTTGGCGACTGGGGTTTCTTCCCTACTCGCTGTTCTTCACGATTTTCATAGAGTTTTGGCGACTGGGGTTTCTTCCCTACTCGCTGTTCTTCACGATTTTCAGAAAAAAGTATGTCTCGCTGTGCTTCGCTCAAAAGTTCTTGTGTGCTTTGGTTCCTAAACCAGTCTTTAGGAAGCTTAGTATCTGGAGCAAAACATGCTGTCAAAATACTTTGCATTTGGTACATATCGTCTTTGACCGAACGAATGAGACGGAGTTGTTTGTTAAACTGAACCCACTCATATTCTTCATTTATAGCTTCATGGACTATAACTGTTGTTGTGTTCTCTGTTGTTGACATATCTGTCTTTACATACAAAATAAAAAAATAAATAAAATAAAATTAGCGTTATTTTCTATCTTTCACAAAAGACCAAAAATAAACGCTTTACATGTATTTTTCAGCAACTTCGTCAAATAATTTTATAGCTTTATCTATCTCATCTACTTCAAACGTTTCTTTACCTTTTATGGGAGCACCATACATTTTCTCAAACTTTTCAAGTAGTTCTGTTTCAGCAGCTCTCATATCGTTAACAAACACAACCTTGACTCTATTGACTGTACTGTCATATCTTTGAGTTATATTATATGTTCTTCCTATCTTATATCTCTTTGTATTGAAGTCCTTCGGTTTCTGAACGATGTAAAGTAAGCCTTCACTGCAACGTTCCGTATCGAATGAACCATATGTTATGAAGTTATATCCAACAACTGGGTCTAACCATAACAAAACTATTGGTATAAGACTTTTGTCGATGAGATATGCTGTAGTTCCATAGAATCTTACCGATATCATAAGCTTAGGATTTCTTGTCAAAATTTTCTGAGTAGAAGCAATTCTAACCCAGTCGTGTGGTTTCTTTCCAGATGGAGATATAATGTCTGACAAAGAATATTTGTTGTATTTCTTTGAGTATCTTACGTTTAAATCACCAATTCTAACCAATTTAGTGTTATTGTCTATCTTTTTAACTGTTTCAAACTCAGTGTTTGTCATATATGTTCTTACATACAAAATAAAAAAAATATTTTATAAAAAACTAACTTTATTTTTTCTGTCTTAAGGAAATTCAAGAATTTTGTTGCTGAATTCAGTAAAAATAAAGTTTAGGTGAAGAGGTGAGATCTCACCCGTTTTCTCACCTGTTTTCTCACCTCTTTTCTAACATGGTCTAAAACACACAAAACTCATGAAATTTCATACGGAATTCAATAAAAATAAAGTTTAGGTGAAGAGGTGAGATCTTACCCGTTTTCTCACCCGTTTTCTCACCTCAGTTATTTTATAAGCGTTTTACATGAATTGTACGATGTATATTTGAAATCCTAAACAGTTTTGTAGCTTCTATTTCTTCTGTCAGTATGTCAAAAGTTTTAACTATGCCGAAAGTCTCTTTATATTTCTTCTTGACGTCAGATAGAAGGAAATCTTCTGCAGTTGGATAGTTTTTGTTCAGAAATTCTAACATGTCCATTTTATCTTCTGCTGGCTTTTCTGCTTCTTTCTTTAAGTCAGCATAGTCGTTTCTCATTCTTTCTATCTCTTTGACGGAGTAGTTATATTTCCTCATTGCCGCTTTACATTTAGAACATTGCGGGTTCATTTTTGCGTTATACATTGAAATAAAACCAGCTAAAACAACTAAGGCGTCAATGGTTTTCTTTAAATCTGAAGCAGTTGGTTTTATCTGTTCATTCCATACCTTACCTCTTCTATCTTTATCTCTTATCTGCCATACACATTCAGCAACTAACGAAACAAAGTTGTCGTAGGTCTTAAACTCCCCAGATTTATATATGTCAGAAACATTCTTATATACCATATCGCAGTCTTTGTCCATGACTTTGTGGTTGCAATGAAATCCTAGAAACTCATAGTTTACCTTTCGTATGAACTTCTTTATTTCTACTGAGTCAGTTGCTTTGACTTCAATTTCGTCGAATTCAGGAATAGTGAGTTTTTGTTGTTGGATTTCAGGCAATTTAGGCAAATGGTCAATAATGTCCTGCATTTCATAAAGATACTGTTCATTTGTTTCATCTTTCGCACTACAGTCTAAATTACATGTTAAAAGTTCTTGCTTTATCTTCTGGATTTTTGTTTCAAAAGTATATGAAGAAGGAATGAAGCTTTTCATTTCTACTAACATAGATGTTGGATTCATAACTAAAGAGTTTGGTGAAGTTGTTGCTAACATGTTCTTACAATAAAAATAAAAAATATTTTTTTAAAAAAACTAACTTTATTTTTTATTTCGGGAAAATTCATGAAAATTCATGAAAATTCAACGGGTGAGAAAAGAGGTGAGAAAAGAGGTGAGATCTCACCACTTCACCTAAACATTATTTTTGGGTCCTTTACACTCATTACGAAGAAGTCTTGACAAAACATTTACGAAGAAGTCTTGAAAATTCAAGAGGGTAGAAAAGAGGTTAGAAAAGAGGTTAGATCTAACCTTCTACCCTAAATTATATTTTTGCTGAATTCATGAGTTTTGGTTGAAAGAATACGGTGGAGCCAAAAGTGGCTCGACCTCAAAACAAGCATTTTCTGTATAAAATTCATGAAAATTCAAGAGGGTGAGAAAAAAGGTGAGAAAACAGGTGAGATCTCACCTCTTCACCTAAAAGTATTTTTCAATACTTTTTCAGCACTTTTCCGTAGTTATATATGAAAGACAATTCGAGATAAAAGTCATAGTACAATGGAATAATATGTTGCACACCATTTGTTGTGAACCAAACTTGAAAGTCAGAGAAACTGTTACTAGGTGGTTCGTAGAATTTAGAAGCAAAGTCATAAAAGTCCTTACCAATACATAGAAAACTATTGTTGCTTGAACTGAAACTTGCATGACACATAACATTTTGAGGGTCAAACACGTTTCTATAAACTGTCAAATCTGCTGGTGGAAGTATAAATTGAAATGGACCATCTGGTGGTAATGGTTCGTTCTGGTTTAGTAACCGAAGAAATTGTGCCCAAGAACGTTTGTCTACTTTCCAAAATAAAAACTCTGTATCTCTTGGAGGGTTAATTTCAATCTTTTGAAATGAAACGGTGGAGTTCATCTTGTCATATTCTAGTTTCAGATAGTATGTTCCATTTAGTAAAGAGTCGTATTTTTCTTGAAATTCCCAATAATATTTGTTCATTTGAGTTTGAAAGTCATTTAGAGTTTTCTCAAGACTTTCGTCTGAACGAACTGTAAAGATCCTCATTTCATCAAATTTGTCTAGTAGACCATCATGACCTTTATACTGCCCATGAAAATATACTGCGAACATAAATGCGTTAGTTCTATTTGAAAACAAAACTCTTCTAAATCCTATTGCCTTTGCATCTGAAGGACTTTGAAGCCAACGAATTGGATAGTCAAACCTGTATGCTCGGGATGAAATTTCTTCATCTGAAATAGTCCTACCAGCATTTGTAAAGATATAGTCTAACGGTTTTGTATCTGCTACTTTTGTTCTTTGTTTTTCAACCTGAAGCATTTAATATATGTAAAATATTTGTTTTAAAATGGTATGCCATTTCATATTTCTCATCTAACAAACAAGTTTCCCAACGGTCTTCTCCAACAAACTCAGCGTACATTTCAAATAAAATTAAAAAATGTCACTTTTTAAAAAATAAATTTTTACTTCATGCAATGTTTTATTTCTGTGCCGTCTTCAAGTATGCCCCAGTACTTACGCTTGGAGAGGACATGAACTTCAGAAAATACCTTATCTAGCTTAAAACAGCCCATCTTTTCACCGACCATTCCCATTTCAATGAGTTTGTTGTATCCTTCTTCGTTCGTCATGAGTGCGTCAATGTTCTCATAGTAAACCTTCACTTTGGATTTGACTTCGGAGAAGAATTTGTTGTAGTTGTCAAGGACTGCCTTTGCGAACTGAGGGTAAGACCAATGTTCGACAATAGGTTTTAATGTGGTTACTAAGCCACTTTGACCTTGAGTGAATTCGTACTTCAAAACAAAAGGAGAAAACCTTTCAACAAAGTTGTCGACCTTCTCATAATGTTTACTCTTCATCTCTTGAGGTTTCTTAATGGAATATCCCATGTCGAATTCATAAGCAATTTGAGTGTCATTGCAAGTTTGGGGTTTGAAGCTTTCCTAATATCATACAGTTGTTGTATGACTTTTCCAACTGTATAGTTCCTTCCCGGGAACTCACCATCTTCGTTTGGAATTCCAGTCGGAATATATTGGACAAACCTCATGTATGCAGCGTTAAGGTCGACAATAGTATATCTTTTC